CCAATGCTCAAAATGCTCTGTTCCACCTTGTGATGTCACGTAGTAGTTTTCATGTTAACAACAGTTGGCAAAATCCAAAATGATGGCTGAAATGATCCAAACTCATTTTCCCAGATCTTTGGCATTTTTTGTCCTAACAACATGAAAATTGGCACTGCACACATTCGGTTTGAGAGTTACGCGTGGAGCAGACAAACAAACAGACCCACTGAAAGATGTTCTGTGAATTAACAGATAGATGATTAGTGAAACAACATTATAACATAGATCAGATGTATCTATTTCCATGAAAACTAATCAATGAGGCCACCATACAAAGTCATTACTCACTATTTATCTAGGCAGTTACTCAGCAGTGCTATTAGTTTTAAGTAGACTATTTTACTTTTTTTGGATTCCCACACATTGGCATAGAGCAAGGGTCATCAAACTAAGGCCAGCGGGCCGACTCCAGGTCACCACGCCCCTTTGTCCGGCCCCCCAGCCCCTCTGCCCCCACCACTTGAACTGGCCCTATGAGGCAATCCTCAAAAGTTGTCATGGCCTGTTTTTTTTTTTTTGTGTGTTTTTTTTTAGTTTCTGGCAAATAATAATACATCTGCATCTTGTATTGTGGTTTTGTTTTTGTCTTGTTTTCAATAAAAAAAAGTATTTATATATATGAAGTATTTATATTTATATTTAAATAATTATATGATATATTTGCATTTGTTGCCAAATTTGCCTCTGAAATTTCATCACTTGACAAGCTCGAGATCAAACAGTCAAAGTGACAGTCAACGCACTTGCAGAGTTCTGTAGTGCAGATAAGGACAGCTAAATGTCGATTGTTAAAGTACAAAAACTTGACAGAGTGTTGAGTTTTCAAAACAGTGGACGACCAATGGACGACCAGTTTTTTTTGTTCAGTGGAAGGACCGTGCAGTTTGTCTGACATGTAAAAAAAGTGTGGAGGTTTCCAAAGAATATAATCTGCATCATCGAGGTCATACACTTCTGTTATACGACCGACCCGACCCCGGCCCCTATCACAGTCAGGAGCGATAATGTGGCCCCCAGAGGTTCACATCCTCACTTCACAACTAGAAGATTCTGGGTTTGATTCCTTGGGTTTCTGCCTCAATATGTGCATTTGTATATCACTTTCAGTTTACCTCTCTTAAATGCGCACTGTATTAAACTTTTCTGGAGGAGGGTCCGCCACCTGATTGTCTCCATGGAGGTGATATTGCCTTGCCTGGAATGTTCCACAGTATGGTATTATACCTGTTAATCTAAGTTTTACCCAATTTCAGGGATTTAATTGCTAGAAAAATATGCATTCTTACTATGAACATGAACAACTCCACAGCTTTGCTTTGTAACTTGGTTTGTTGGTTTCTTCTTGCTTGTCTTCAAGGAGATAGATAAGTTTAATGCCAAAGCAATAAGATCTCTATGGAGACAAGCTCAAGGCGAACCCTCTCCCAGAAAAGTTACACAGTGCAGATTTAACCTCAATGAAGTACATTTAGAATCAATATAACGTTACCAGTCTTATATTGTGATGAACTGCAACTTCTAAAAATACATTAAATCTTTTTACCATCTCCAAGGGCCTTCACAAGTCTATAATTCCATAGGTATTTTATTTTATGACTTCTACTGCACCATCTCAACTAATACGTTTTACTATCTGTTGGAGTAATCGATAGCAGGCGTCCAAATATTTGCAGTGTGTCCGTAATAAAGATCGACTTTAATTTGTTAACCATATTTCACACTCGCGGTTTTTATGCCTTTGTTTTGGAGCGGCTCTAAGTGAGTTGTTGTCTTGTGCTGTGCTGTCGGGAGCCAATTTAGCCTCAGTCAAAGAAGGTAATAAAACAATCTCAGTAATGAATAGGACGCTGCAGTGGAGTATGGCAGCCTCCGCACGCCTCGATGAGGGCGCTTCCCAAAGTTTGGCTAACTACTTCCTGCTTTTTTTGTATCTCATGTGGAGGAAGGTTTGTGATCAGTTTAAGATTTATTTTATTTTTACTCAAGGTGCATTTTGTAACTTTTTCTGCTTGTTTCCATTAAGATGTTATTGCTGTTACTGGAATGTTACAGAAACTATAATGGGGTGAGTTGGGTTTGAATTGTAAAAAGCACAAATTTTACCTTTTCTTAACGAGAGAAACCTGTAAAAATCCACAATTTATGATTCCCCGATGTTATGTCAGTCCAACCAACAAATGTGTGTTTATAATGGAAGTCAATGGGGCTTAAGGGGAAAACCGCATTTTCTGCAAAAACTAAACAAATGTCAAAATCAGTGTTGGTGCTATTTTATGACATCCCCAGCCTACGATAAATCCAAATACAAACAAATTTAAAATTTCTTGAAAGATAAAGGGAAAAAACTAATAATAATAATAATAATAATAATAATAATAATAATAATAATAATAATAATGAAATAAATAAATAAATGAACACAATGATATAAAAATGTTGAATAAAAATATGTGCAGCATAAAAATATTGCAGTATTCTTTTCTGGTGTACTTTTTTTTTCCATTTCACAACGGACCACAGGTGTAACTATTTCACTTTGTGCAAAAACTAAGAAAACTGTCAACTATTTTATGACTTTTATGAGCCTATTATTATTATTATTATTATTATTATTATTATATTATTTTTTCATTTCTTTTTTTTTCTTTTTCTCATGCACATAATTTGAGCCTTTCACAAACAAAACTGGTATTTAATGTGTTAAATGTTCAAAGTGTTATATATTATTTGGTATGAATGATTAGGGCAGAAGTAAATGAAGACAATGATATCAAAAAGTTGGACAAAAATCAGTACTGCATTAAAATATTATGGTATTATTTCCTGGTGTACATTTTTGTCATGAAGGACCATGAGTGTAACTTTCCCAGCCTTTGTTAACCCCTACACAAGCAAATTAAAATTACTTGAAGGATATAGAAAATTTATTTGAGACTTTTGCGAACAAAACTGGCATTTTAAGAGGTTCAAATTTCAAAACATTATATATTATTTGGTAAGAATGATTAGGGCAGAAGTAAATGAAGACAATGATATAAAAAAGTTGGACAAACATTTGTACTGCATAAAAATATTGTGGTATTCTTTTTTAATGACCACAGGTGTAACTATTTCAGTTTGTGCAAAAAATGTGTGTTGCCACGATTTTAATTACTTTTAACAAATTTTAAAAATGTCAAAATCGGTGTTGGCCACTATTTTATGAATTTTCCAGCCTTCGTTAACCCCAGCACAAGCAAATTAAAATTACTTGAAAGATATAGAAAAAATCTCTTATTTAACGTGTTAAAATTTCAAAACATTATATATTATTTGGTATGTATGATTAGGGAAGAAGTAAATGAAGACAATGATATCAAAAAGTTGCATACAAATATTGTGGTATTCTTTTTCAATGTACATTTTAGTCACAAAGGACCACAGGTGTAACTATTTTCAAAAGGGTGCATTAGGGTTAAACATATTTATCTCTATGGAAACAAGCTGATGATGCCACTAGACCAAGTTACAGGTCAGATCTATCAACTGGCGAGCCCTCTGACAGTAAGAATGCATGTGTTTCAAGTCCATTAATGCACCTTTAATTGGTTAAATGAAAGATGGTACATTTAATGCCATAGTGAGGTACATTACAGGCAAAATAATAACATCTCATGGAGCTGATCCCAACTTGAAAGATACGTAACGCAACTTTGGGCTTCTTGAGGTGTAATGCAAATGATATCCAAACTATGCCAGGGTAATTTGTAGTCCTAATGGAATAGATTAAATTTGATGCAATAGAAGGAGAGGAGATGTGGAGAGACCTATAATAAAGGGTTGCTCAAACATGTGTGAATGAAACAAAACACACCTCTGGATATGTTTTTGAGGAGGTAACACCATTATAACCTGGCTTAAAGAGAGAGAGACTTTATTGATCCCGAGGGAAATTCAGGTTTTGCTGCAGCAACATTTCCACTGCGCTTCTGGGTGACCTTCGTGTCTCAGTCAAAGGTCTCAGTGCAGTTTCACGGGAGGACTGGTCAGGGAGGGTCAGCGGATCTGTGTCGGGACAGTTTGAGGAGAGAGGAAGAGCCAAAAGTGTCCTTCCTCGGTGTCCTGCAGCATCACAGCAGCCTCCAGGGGGCGCCAGGTGAACACAACAGGGAAGATCTTACTTTAACTTCGCTCTGATGTTTCAGTTGGTGATGAAATGGTCCATTGTTTCTAAATAGTTCCTCTGGAAGGTCTTCATCCACATTTGGTGCAAAATGCCTGAAGCATCACAAACATCCCCAGCCCGTCTTCGTGGATATGGGCAAAACAAACTGCTTATTTCACAAAATCCAAGAGTCTTTTACTTGGTCCTTTGAACTACACATGCTTCACTTATTAGTTGGTTACAATCCCATGATATGCTGCTAGAAAAATGAGCTCAAAAAAGAAGAAGAAAAAAGCTCATTGTGCGAGCCAGGTAGCCATAAAGGGAGCCAATATTGTCTTTGGGTAAATGAATATGGGATATATAAACCTCAATTTTGCAACCCGGCCTTTAAATGTCCATCTTGTGACCTTTATTTCCCAAGTAATTACAAATACCACTTGATTATAGATGCAAACACTAACCCTAATCCTAATCACAGCCATTCTCACCATGTAAATGTCATAAATTTGTTTCAAACCATTATGTTGTGTCTGGCAGCAGATGTGATGTAGTAAAGCTCCACTCTGTAGCCAACAGCACTAAACCTCTGCTCCAAACAGAAGCTGCAGCCAGACTCTCTTGAACTTTACTCTAAAAACTTCATATACACACTGTAATTGTAATAACACTTTCTCAGAACAGTGAATTCAATTTGACCCCACTGGCCCTTAAAATAATGTACAATTTGGATTTGAAAGGCTTCTAGACAAAAGAGAAATTCAATCTTTGTAGAACAAGAGTGTTTTTTTTATGAAATATCAAACCATCTCACCTTCTTCTTGTCCATGTGTGTTGGAGGGAGCAGTGCCTTTGAGCGCTCGGCAATTTTCTGTCAAACACAGAGAACAAAGACAAACACTTCAGAGGCTGCATAAAACACATACAAATACATTTGATTTTTTTTTTTTTATCTGAAATTATATCAATAAACGTCATTTGAAGTTACCTTCTGCAGGTCCCCATAGCGCTGCACAGCATCTGACAGTTCACTCTTTAGTCTGGTCAGGCGCAGACGGTCCTGCTACAGAAACACACAACCATACAACATGTTAAAAACAGATACAAATTGCATCTGATGTTATAAAATAAAATGACGATGAAGCCAAAAACTGACACAAAGCTAAATATGTTTTCTTCCAGGATGAACCAAACATCTGCCTGCAACATCTCTTCCATTTGAGATTTGATCAAATCGTAGCCTGTGAAAAACAACTTAATGAGAATACAGTGTTTTGTGGAAAACCGGGTGTCCACTGCACGATTTTGGCCGCCTGTGATGAAAGATTTGTCATAGTGATAATGGGGAAAATCTTGAGTCATAGCTAAAAGTCGAGGCTCAAAGGTCCCAGAGAGAGAAACACAGCCTCTCGTTGTGTCTGTGTCCAAATTTGTACGAACACAGAAACACCACTTGCATGTAGCGCTAACTAACATGTACATTTACAGACACTTTATCACAGGAAGCCTTGAGCCTGTGGTGTTATATGATATAAGTTCTTCGTGTCGCATGGTGCTACATCCGACGCTCTCATAAGACGATAAAAGAGGACCAACCCGTGAGGAGCCGCTGATGATGTCTGACAGCTGTTTGATGAGCTGACTCGTGGTGGTGATGACTTTGTTGGTCTGCTGCTGTGTTGAATGTCTGCAGAAAAAAACAAGAGGAAACAAACGTACTCGGTTAGAAGAGGTCGAGTATTTGGTTAGAAGTATTTGGTTAGAAGAGGTCAAGTATTTGGTAGAAGAGGTCGAGTATTTGTAGAAAGGGTTGAAGTATTTGAGTTAGTTAGTATTGTTAGAAGAGGTCGAGTATTTGGGTAGAAGAGGTCGAGTATTTGGTTAGAAGAGGTCGAGTATTTGGTTAGAAAGGTAGTAGGTTAAAGAGGTCAAGTATTTGGGTAGAAGATGTCAAGTATTTGTCTAGAAGAGGTCAAGTATTTGGTCAGAAGAGATCGAGTATTTGGTTAGAAGTATTTGGTCGAGTATTTGGTCAGAAGAGATCGAGTATTTGGTCAGAAGAGATCGAGTATTTGGTCAGAAGAGGTCGAGTATTTGGTTAGAAGTATTTGGTTAGAAGAGGTCGAGTATTTGGTTAGAAGAGGTCGAGTATTTGGTTAGAAGTATTTGGTTAGAAGAGGTCGAGTATTTGGGTAGAAGAGGTCAAGTATTTGGTCAGAAGAGATCGAGTATTTGGTTAGAAGTATTTGGTCAGAAGAGATCGAGTATTTGGTTAGAAGTATTTTGTCAGAAGAGGTCGAGTATTTGGTTAGAAGTATTTGGTTAGAAGTATTTGGTTAGAAGAGGTCGAGTATTTGGGTAGAAGAGGTCGAGTATTTGGTTAGAAGTATTTGGTTAGAGAGAGGTCATGTATTTGGTCAGAAGAGGTTGAGTATTTGGTTAGAACAGGTCAAGTATTTGGGTAGAAGAAGTCGAGTATTTGGGTTAGAAGAGATCGAGTATTTGGTCAGAAGACGTCGAGTATTTGGTTAGAAGTATTTGGTTAGAGGAGGTCAAGTATTTGGGTAGAAGAGGTCGAGTATTTGGGTAGAAGAGGTCGAGTATGTGGGTAGAATACTTTGAGTATTTAGTTAAAAGAGGTCGAGTATTTGGTTAGAAGTATTTGGTTAGAGGAGGTCATGTATTTGGTTAGAAGAGGTTGAGTATTTGGTTAGAAGACGTGAAGTATTTGGGTAGAAGAGGTCGAGTATTAAACAAATAAATAAATAAACAAGATTGCCATGCAGGTTCATTCAAAACATATACTTGATATGGAGACTATAAATAAAAATCCAATATTTAACCACATTGTAATCCAATGTGTACTTCACTGTTATTTTTCTTCCGTTCTGTGCTTTTATTGTTCAAAAAGACACGTGTTGTAGATCCTCTGATGCACTCGTGGCCTCAGAGGGTCAAGCCTGTTGAGCTCACAGGAAGTGTACACTCATAGATTCAGATTATTGCACAGTTTTCTTGTTGTTTGTGATAAAAGCCTTATAGAACACAAAACAAGGCCTATAATTATAAAAGCAAACATGGTTGGTACAGCGATCAGATCCTGTGGACAAATACAGGTTGGCAGTGCAACTCCAGCTCCCATAGATGAATATTATTGTTATTCTCTTGGGCAAGACACTGGAGTATGAATCTGTTTGTGGGTGAGTGGTTCTTTGACGTAAAGTGACTTGAAGATCGAAAAGTGCTAGAGAAAAGCGACCATTTAGAATGTATCAAAGAGAGCCCTTTTGGGTTTATTACAAACTGACCCTGCGTCCAAACATGAGGAGCTCATTCTTCTTTGTGAGTGGATAATACATTTTAGATCCAACATGTAAAAACAGTAAAACATTGTACTTCGCCTTGAAAGAACCAAAAATTCATAAAAGTTGGCACTATCTGCATTAAATCTTATTGGTCTATAGCACAGGTGTCAAACATAAGGCCCGGGGGCCGGATTCGGCCCTCCAAGACCTTTAATCTGGCCCTCGGCTGATTTTCTACTAAAATATTTTAATTATATTTTCTATTAAAATATTGGTAATTTTCTGTGGTGTTTATCATATCAGCGTCTCCAGCGCCTCTGTACGTGGCCCCTCCCACCAGAGCAGCACAAATGAAGACTTGTCTCTTTCCAAACGCTCTTAAAGGACGATCGTTTTGACTGTTGACCGTGACACCCTCATCAGAAAAATGTCCAACATGAGAAAAGTGGAGCCGAGTGCAGGATTTTACAACAAAAACTGACTTATTCCTATTTACATACAAGTTCATGTTGAAACATTGTGTTGAAATTGTATTTTTCTTAAAGTTTCAGGTTGTTCATAATATTATAATATTTTGTAAAAGAAAGAGTTCATCAATTCAAAAAGATTTCTGTAATAGATTTGTGTTTCTCTGCACAAATATTTGAACTTATTGTTATTTTTGGGGTTTATATGACATGAGTTTTCTGATCCGGCCCCTTTGGGATCAAAGTCGGTTGGATACGGCCCCCAGACCAACAATGAGTTTGACACCCCTGGTCTATAGAATGATATCAAACATGTACTAATTTGGTGCACTTCAAAAAACAGTATAAACATCAAATCTTACAGAAATACCAAGAAGACTAGATCTATTGTCTTCAGAAGTAAACCAAGACTATTGGTTAGGTGCATGTTTTTCTTTGACATTGCCTTTTGTTTTGATGCGATCATGGACGATGAATTTTGTGCCTTCTTTGTCATTATTATTATTAGTATTATTATAAACGAAAACAAAACTGGCATCTTTAAAAAAAAATGAAGACAAGAAAGGAAAAAAAAATTAAAAAGTATTTCTGTTAGTGGGGTTAGTATACGGAACAATTTGTGTGATGGTTTTTTTTAAAAGTCTAACACTGTAGAAGCCTTTAAAAAGAAAAAAAGAGTATAAAGCATTATATTCTGAAAGATATAGAGCTCTGGAATTAATGAATTATGCATTAAATTTGGTTTGTTTTAGGCCCCGTCCACACTAGTAAGTATTCGAGTTTCGAGTCATTTTCGTTGCAGATGCAGTCTTCATCCACACTAATCCGATTGAAAACTAAACGATCTGGTGCCACCAGCTCCCACGAATTCATCTGAGTACAAATCTGATACGGCACTGTGTGGACACCTGAAAACGCTGATACTCTGATGTAGGTCTATGTGCTGTGAAGTAATTCACTGCCAAAATGCTAAGAGGCTAGAATATTTGTCCATTCATATTTACGGTCTATGTGTACGACCTGCAGACGTACAATCTCTGAAAAGTTTAACATGAACCATCTCCAACGTGGTAGAAGCACAGAACAGACTCACCATCAGCAGAACACCCCTCTGTCACAGAAAGAACACTCAGATTCCACTGAGATGTGCCCTTTAGTCCGACAGAAGCTGAACCGCATCAGCGCACAATAGCGAGCTGTTTTTTGAGCGCTTAGTTTATGCAAATTAGCCATGTGATTTTAAGTTTAGTTTCTGTAAAACGTAAACAAATATGCTCAAAGCTGTGCGGATAGGGAAGGATTTCAGACACAGAAACGGCATGTCTGGATGCAAATCTTTTCCGATACAGTGATTAGTTTTAGTGTAAACATAGCTTTAATTTATATTTTCCAGTAAGTAGTAAGTGAAATTGTAAATGCAAACTGCTGCAAATTGTTGTTCATACACTGTTTTTTTCTTGGAATTCTGTCATTGTTTAAAAGGGTTTGGCATTATAAGTACATTTTACTTCAACGTAAACCCTTTTAGTCATGATCCATGGGGTTGTAGTCTTGTTTTGTTTTGTAGTGCTGCAAAATGACTGAAGAAAAAACTACTATTAAAAAATAAATAAATAAATAATCATCTGAAGCAGTTGTTTTGACCGCCCCGTCCCCTCACATCGTTAGAGCCTCATACAACCACATCTTCCTCTTTCTTCCTGTCTTCTACTCCACCGCTCCGTCAAGGTGAAAGTCCAGGGTTGGGTCATATTCAGAGCTCCTCCAGTACATTGGGTTAACACACTTATTAAATCTCTCTCAGCAGGTCAGGCTAGGCTTACTGTATACACCTCCAAGAGAGCACCCAAGGGCCCCGTGCTCTCCTCCAGCCCCGCGCGAGGAGGCCTGTCCTGGGTAGATAGCTGCAGAGGCAAACACGGCTCCACCACTGCATTCCCTGCTCAAATATTGATCTTCACAGAGTTATAAAAGCAGGAGGTGCTCTGGGGACGTGTCACTATGGCTCATGCAAAGTCAAGGTTTCCTCTCGTCCCCTCACTTTCAACTTCCAACTGCAATAAGAAAAACGAGCACTACTTTTCTGAATTTATTAAAAACTTGAAGATGAATTAATTAGTTTGATCAGTGAAATATGAATTAGTAACCTTAAGCTATTCGCCACGATGAGCTGAACACTTTCCACGACAGAGCAGTTTTGTCGTGACGGTAATGTTAACAACAACTGGCCTGCAAATGCACAATTCCTGATTACTGGACAACAAAATTATTTACAGAAATCACTATTACTGTTACTATTTATTACATATGTGCTGCACTGAATGTCTTTATTGTGCGAGTGTTTACACCGGGGTTATTTATGGACTTTTGGACCTTAAATACTGCATTTTAAATCAAAACTATGCACTGTTTGATGCTCTTCATGATGCTCTTCTTTGATGCTATACGTAAATTCTGTGTTTTTCTATGACAGTGACAATAAAATCTTGAAATCTTGATCATTAGATACAGACAGCACACAGCAGACATCCAGTATTTTGACCTTACTGACTAGGGGTGTGCAAAAATATTGAAATATCTACATATCGTATTGTTTAATTTGATGATACAGTATCAGTATCGTGGGCTGCTGTATCGATACATAGCCAAGAGGGTTTTTTTTTGGTATATTTTCTTAAATTGTTTCGTTACAGTGCTACAGTTTTGTTGCTTGTTTAGATGAAGAAAACTCGTTTATGTGACACATTTGACATTTTCACAGTTTTGATGATTAAAATGTTTGTGCTTCATATGAACTTTGCACAAGAAGTGGTTTAAAAAAAGACTTTTAGTATCACAGCCATGATTTAGCCTTTATGTTTTTATTGAACTGTGCTGAATCGATTTGGAATATATTGTATTGAATCGAAAGTGCA